TCTCTCTCTCTCTCTCTCTCTCTCTCTCTCTCTCTCTCTCTCTCTCTCTCTCTCTCTCTCTCTCTCTCTCTCTCTCTCTCTCGCAACCTTCTTCTTCGTTGTGGTCCTCTTGATGCCGGTGCGCGGCGGCTTCTTCCACCTCGAGGTCCGCTATGGCGGACTGCCTCCTTCGGTCGCCACCTCAGCTATGGCGCATCGGCCCTGCACACGACGGCGCGCGTGAAACAGCGGGTACCAGCTCCGATACCAGTGCAATCAGACTCGACTTATTCACATTTTTCATGCACGTGAACAGCAGAACAACAAACTGGCGCCATGCGCCCACACAGAACTCAGAGATATGGCTTCCAAGTAACAGTTCCCTTTCTCTGGCTATGGCGACTGTGCGCCTCAAACACCTCACTGTTCACACTCTGGATCACCCTGGATGTTCCACGCACATCACTCTGCACACACACATAGTACACACACACTGCACTCTATACTAAGCTATGGCAGCTATGGCTGCCGCTACCTATCGCTATGGCTACCCTGCTTCACTCTCGCCCACTTCGTCTTCGGGCCTTCAGCAGACCTCCTTGCACAAGACGCTGAAGCAGCGCTTCCGCATGGCTTCCGCCTGAATGACTGAATGGCTGGGCGCAGCCTCTTGATTTATACTTCTGTGCTGCATTGGTCTGCCCTGTACCCCTGGCCCATCGTGCACACAGTCCCAGACGGTACTTGCTGGACTGGACCGGACTGGGTGGACTGGGACTGCTGACTGTACTAGGTGGACTACCACCACTTGACCACTTGCCTCTGCTTAACACAGGCTCACCCCGAAAGGCCACTTCTAGAAACCTCTAACTTGGCCTTTCGGTACCGTAGCAGCTACGACTTTGCCTTTTCAGGTAAGTAGCAGCTACGACCTTGACCCTTCAGGCAGTCTACAGCTACGACCTCTAAACTGTCTAGACTCCTACCCTACAGGTCTACAGTTCGAATCCCTTCTACCCTGTGACCTACGAAAAACTACCTGCCACTGGCGGTCCTACAGGTAGCAGGTTCAAATCTACGGGTTGACACCGGTACTGTAACAGGTAAGATGGGGAACTAGGGATCGAGCCCTGGGATCTGCTTCAGCTACTGCGAACTGGTGAATCCCGTTTCATAGTGTAATGACCCACCAAAACACAGACGGAGAACACTGCTGATTTTTGGGATTTGCTGCTGGAATGAATGTCTTACTGAGATTCCTGCATTCTGTTGTGGTCTCCAAGTCTATGTGTGTGTGCGTGCCTGCTGGTTTGCGTGCCTGTCTGAGTGCTTGTTGGCTGAGTGTGTGTGTGACCCCCAAGGGTATTTGTTGGTTGAAAGCCCCCCCTTGGCCGGTACTTACCTGTGGCCGTGACTTTGAGGGTTGCGGCGGGG